CCCCCCCCGCCATACCGGCCCCAATTCGGGTACATATCGGAGAAGAAGGCGCAGCGCTCGTCCCGGCGTCGTTACGCGTCGCAACCGACCTCCAGGAGCTGCGGCGGCGACGGCGACAGCCGGAACTCGCGGCGCCTACAGGCCCCGGAGCGTGTAAACGGAGCGCGCCAGTGCGCCGGCGCTACCGAGCTGCGCCCGCGACCGGGAAGGTGGGGACGGTACCGGGGCGATTACGCCTGCGCAGTAGCCACTGAGAGGAGAACAAAGGCAAGATAGAGCGGCCCTTTGCTTGGCGACTCTCGGTTGCCACCTTCCTTCCGGTTCGGATAATGTAGGGGCGAGTAGAATGTTCCTATATAGCCAAGGAACCATAGAGTCTCACAGCTGAGAGCGGTGGTAGAGATCCTATCGCTCTACGGGTTCGCTTTTCAATGGAAAAAAAAAAAGGTTCCATTCACGATAGCAACAACAAAAAACCATGAAGCAGGTAGGAATAACACTAATAAGAAATATGCAGAATCTATATAAAGGAAACTACAGAACTATACAGACTCATATCCGAGTGGAATAAAATTAGACTTGAAATAATGGAGAGGTTTACCATGGTTCTGAATGAAAAGAGGAAAAATTATGATGTCAGTTCTTCTCAAATTAAGTGAATAGACTTAATTCAATTCTAACAAAAAATCCAATTAGGAACAAATCTGTAAAGATGTATTCTGAAGACAGAATGTAAGAGTACATCAATTCCTGCAGGTATTGTAAAAGGGAATTCTTTAGAATAATTCAACGCAGAAGAATTTATGTTGGAGAATATCAGTCAAAGGAAAGATAGCAAAAGCCAGATAACAAGATTGTCTAGAGAGGACCAGATTGGATTTAGAAAATAATCCAATCTCATGTAATACTAAACATGAACCCATTTGGCTTGAGAGAATCACTGAAAAACAAAGCTGATACACACTGAATTCTGAAAACAAAACAAAACAAAAACCTACCTAACTCTGAGACTATTAAGTGTGTCAATGTGTCAGTTGTGCACCACTTAAAGGTTTGACCTTGCTTCCATCTTAATAACCCAGATCTTCACCTCTCATAGGAGGTGGATGTGAGCAGAAAGTGGGGCAGCTAAGTTTCCTTTGGAAGAAAAAGCTTTTCATTCTCAAATAGGAATTTAGCTGTGTTTCTTTTAGCTTTTATTGAAATATAAAGTATATACATAAAATTACAAATCATAGTGTACAGCTTAGTGAATTTTCACAAACCAATCACACTTGTGTACAGATCAAGAAACAGAACATTACCCAACTCAGAAATCCCACTTGTAATTTTAGTATTTTCAATTGAAATTCTCTTTGAAAACTATAAAAATAAATGTAATTTACTATAGAACAGACATGGAGAAAATCAGATGATCATCTCATTAGATGCAGAAAAAGAATGTTTTCTTTCTTTTCATAAATTTCAATATCCATTTATGATTTTTAAAAAGATTTGCAAGCCAGAAATAAAAGGAAACTTCCTTAATGTTATACAGAGTATTTACTAAGAAAACTGCAGCAAACATCACAGTTAATGCTGAAAAGTTGAAAGTTTTCCCACTGAAATCAAGAACAGATGTCCACTGCTATCATGTCTGTTACGGGTTGAACTGTGTCCCCCCCACACCCCCCCAAAAAAGATGTTTAAATCCTAACCCCCAGCACCTCAGAATGTGACCTTATTTGGAAATAGAGTTGTCCCAGGTGTAATTAATTAAGATGAAGTCATACTGGAGTAGGATGGGCCCAAGTAGTCTCCTTATAAGATGGCCATTTGAAGACAGCACACAGAGAGAATGCCATGTGATGGTGAAGGCAGAAATGGAGTTATGCAGCTGCAAGCCGAAGAATGGAATAAATGGAATTCTCATATGCTGCTGGTGGGAGTGTAAATTGGGATGACTACTCTGAAATACTATTTGGCACTGTCTATTAAAGCTGAACAGCCCCAGAGCCTATGACCCAGGAATCCCACTCCTAAACATATAACCAACAGAAATGCATATATATGTTCACCAGAAGGCATGTACAAGAATGTTCACAGCAACATTATTTGTAATGGCTGAAAACTGGAAAACAACACAAATGTCTACCTACACTAGAATAGATAATCAAATTGTGGTATATTTGCACAATGGAATACAAAACACCAAAGAGAATGAATGATCTATAACTACATGAAACCACTCAGATGAATCTCACAATGTTGAGCAAAAGAAGCTAGACAGAAAAGAATATATACTATATGTTCTCACATGTATAAGTTCAAAAATAGACAAAATTTATATATAGTGTTAGAATTCAGGACAGTGGAGGGATAGTGACTGAAAGGGAGCTGCTAATGCTGTTTCTCAATCTGGGTGGTTGTTACATAGGTATGTCAGTTTATGAAAAGTTCATCAAGCTGAACCACTTTTGATTTGTGCACTTTTCTGTTTGTATAATTCAGTAATAATGTACCTCCAAGAAAATTGTGAAAGATGAAAGTTCAAAAGAATATTTACTGTAAAATTGACTTTACATATAGTTCAAAAATAGACAAAATTAAATCATAATGTTAAAATTGAAGGTAAGGACTTCCCTGGCAGTCCAGTGGTTAGGGCTCCGCACTCCCATTGCAGGGGGCACGGGTTCAATCCCTGGTCGGGGAACTAAGATCCCTCATGCCACATGGTGAGGCCTAAAAATAAAAAAGAAAAGAAAAAAGGAAGGTAGTGGTTGCCTTTGGGGAGAAGGAAAATGGTAGTGACCAAGAGGGGTCACAAGTAGGGTTTTAGGTGCTAACAATGTTCTGTTTGTTTTTTGGTTTTTGGGTTTTTTTGCAGTATGCAGGCCTCTCACTGCTGTGGCCTCTCCCGTTGCGGAGCACAGGCTCCTGACACCGCGCAGGCCCAGTGGCCAGGGCTCACGGGCCCAGCTGCTCTGCGGCATGTGGGATCTTCCCGGAGTGGGGCACGAACCTGTGTCCCCTGCATCGGCAGGCGGACTCTCAACCACTGCGCCACCAGGGAAGCCCCTGTTCTGTTTCTTGAACCAAGTGGTAATCACATAAATATTTGCTTTGTTAAAACTTACTGAGCTGTAAATTTATCCTTTGCGCTTTCCTCTTTGTGTTTTGTACCTCACAATTTTTTAAGAGTGGGAAGAAGAAAAGTGATGGTAGTGGAAGACAAAGAAAGATGAGATTAGGTTGAGGAAGGCAGGAAGCTTTCTCTTTGCATTTTCCTTTCCTACCTGGCATGGTAGGTTCTAGCTGTCAGGCCCCAGGCCCTCTATCCAGAAACCCTCCCTCAGCAAGGCACCTAATAGGGAAACAGCAACGCTGTTTAAAGGAGTCCCTTCCATGTTCCCCTCATTGTTTCAAGATAGATTTCAGCATTGTTCTAGATCCTACAGGAAATCCTATCTGCTACATTCTTCTTTTTAAAAAAATAAATTTATTTATTTATTTTTGGCTGCGTTGGGTCTTTGTTGCTGCGCGGGCTTTCTTTAGTTGCGGCAGGCAGGGCCTTCTCATTGCAGTGGCTTCTCGTTGTGGAGCACCGGCTCTAGGCACGCAGGCTTCAGTAGTAGTGGCATGCGGGCTCAGTAGCTGTGGCCCGTGGGCTCTAAAGCACAGGCTCAGTAGTTGTGGCACACGGGCTTAGTTGCTCCGCAGTATGTGGGATCTTCCCAGACCAGGGCTCGAGCCCATGTCCCCTGCATTTTCAGGCAGCTTCTTAACCACTGCATCACCAGGGAAGCCTCTATCTGCTACATTCTTACACTTAAGGAACTAACATATAGTTGGCCATTCAAATTTTGTAGCCTGAACAATTAATTTTCAAAAGTCACAGCCATCTTCGTTATACAGAACCAGTCTCCAGAAAATTATTTAAAAGAAGACTCATTGTTTGTGTAATACTTTCCTCATGACATTTTAGTAACGTTAATTTCACTTTATATGACCAACCCCAAGACCATTTTTTAGAGACTAATTTTACTAATCTAGAATGCAAAAAGTGAAGAACAATGAAAACATAAAGTGCTCTTATTCAAAATGAAATAAGGGATGAATTAAAGCACAAATCACACAGAAGGTTTTGTGTGGGAAACTCTGGGGGGGTCAGCTGTTAATTGTCAATGCCGTCAAAATCAACTCAGCATGAGCCTTCTCTGGGTTAGGTTTATAATCCAGCTGCCCGGGATTTTCCTGGTGGTCCAGTGGATAAGACTCTGTGCTCCCAATGCAGGGGGGGCCAGGGTTCGACCCACGGTCAGGGAACTAGATCCCACATGCCACAACTTAAAGGGCTTGCATACTGCAACTAAGACCCGGTGCAGCCAAATAAATATATAAATAATAATAATAAAATTATCCAGCTGCCCTTCTTTCCTTATGTTTCATTCTTGCTGTTACTAGGGAGACTTGGGTGAGGGCGGGGACAAGGGGGTGACATTTGATTGGTTAGTGGTTTTAAGCCATATTCTGATTGGCTGGTGGCTTGCGTATTATTTTGTGGAATAAAATCCTGCTACCTCTTGGCAGCTTGTACCATTCTAAACAACAGGATCTAGAGGCATTTTATCTGCTATTGGACCCCTTAAGATTTGGGATGGATAGTGTCTAGGCTCAGGGTAACCTGGTCATATATAACCTTGGCAGTGTGAGTGAGTACTTCCTTCCCTTCTTATCACCATGGAGTCACGCTTTCATTTTATCCTAAAAATAAACTCCATAGGTGTTAATAAGTAATCTCAATTGCATGTGGTCAGTCCTTCATTCCCAGTGGATCTGCACAGTTTAGGAGAGTCTGTAACTTGAGAGTAGTTGATCCCTTACAGTTCTTTGGATGTTATCCATAGCAGCAGCTAAAACTTTAAAAGAAATATATTTGGAAAGATATTATGGAAGTCACAAAACAGACAAGAAGGCCATATAACTAGGTCTAGGAGCAGGAAAAAGCCAATCCAGGAGCTATTCTACTATCAAAGCTCTGGATGCTGTATGAAAC